CAGACTGTTAGCAGGCTTTTACACGCCTCAAGGAGGCCTTGATGCGTGCACCTATTCTGAAGCTACCTGGCCCTACCTTGCCCTTCGTACTAACTAATGATGCTAACCAGTATGGGGTTGGGGCGGTACTTCAGCAGGACAATGGGCATGGTCTGCAGCCTGTTGAGTATATGAGTAAGAGGATCAAAGTGAAGAAGCTGCAGGATTCTACATACGAGAAAGAGTTGTACGCTCTAGTGTCAGCGCTCAAGCATTGGAAACATTTCCTCATGGGCAGGCACTTCAAGATCTATTCATATCACTCCACCTCACAGTGGATGAAGACCCAAGGGGAGCTGAATGACAAACTTGCACGCTATATTCAGTTCATTGATCTCTTTGACTTTGAACTGAAACACAAGAAGGGCTGCTACAATCACGTAGCAGACACCCTTTCTCGTAGGCCTGATGCTCTCTACCTGATCTCCTCTACTCATACCTTTGGGGATAGCACCCGTCAGACCATTGCCCAGTTGTTGCCACAGGACCCGATTTTCGGCCCTATAGTCAGGAATCTGCAGATTGACCCTGCATCTGAACTAGGATATTTACTGGTTCCAGGTCTGTTGTACACCTGTGGCAGAGGAGAGGAGCGTATGTGCATTCCCCAGGACCGCCAACTGAGAACACTCATAATGTCTGAGTGTCATGATGCGCGTGGCCACTTTGGGGTCTTAAAATCGTTGGCAGCCCTGTCGCAGCGGTTCTTCTGGCCGGAGATGAGGACTGACCTGCTGCACTATGTCGAAACCTGTGAGTTATGCCAAAGGAATAAGGTTGTTCATCGACCTCCCCTTGGCCTACTGCAGCCACTTCCCATCCCTGATGCACCTGCACAGTCAGTGTCTATTGATTTCACTGACCTGGGGAGGACTACTCCTCGTGGTATGCGTCAGGTCATGGTATGTGTGGACAGGTTTTCTAAATATGCAGAGTTCATTCCACTGCCAGAGGAAGCCAAAGTCCCGGCCGTCCAGGCGGCCTTTGCTGACCGGTGGGTTACACACCATGGACCACCCACCTCTATTGTCAGCGATAGAGATCCGCATTTTTGCAGCAATGAATGGCAGTCCTATTGTAAGGACTACCTTCATTCTAGACTGGATATGACATCTGGTCGTCATCCTGAAGCCAATGGGCAGGCTGAAGTGATGAATCGGATTCTCTTCCAGTTGCTGCGTCCTGTGATCAGCCTAGATCAGCAGGACTGGGATCTCCACTTAGGACGGGCACAACTAGTGTACAACACATCTGTACACTCCTCCACAGGGTCCACCCCTTACCGGTTACACTGGGGACGTGAATCGCGGCAGCCTCTCGATGACATTATCGATAAGGCTACCCCCAGACTGACGCCTGGGACTGCAGCGTTCACCAGACAGTACAAGAGGGATATCGAACGAGCCAGAGTTAACCTGCTCAAAGCCCAAAAGGCTATGATTCAGCAGGCTAACAAGCATCGCCGACCATCTCCCATTCGTGGTGGTGACTGGGTCTGGGTACTCAGTTCTGAGCTATCGCGGGAGGAGGACATTTCGCCCAAGCTGTTGTCGCGTTATATGGGTCCATGACAGGTTTTGGATACAGTGGGAGCTGACCTTTTCGGGCCATCTTATCACGTGGACATCCCACTGCATCTACAAACCTACCCTGTCTTTCATGCATCCAAGCTGCTGCCGTTTATCTTAGCTGATGCATTTCCAGACAGGCCTCCTCAATTTGGTCTCCCGATCCCTGGGAAGGGATATGAGGTGGAATCAGTTGAGGATGAGTATGGTATAGGCCCGGATAAGGAGTACCTTGTGAAGTTTCTTTACCAGCCGCATATTGGGGATCGCTGGTTTACTCGCAAGGAGCTTCTGAAAACAGCAAAGTATGTTATCCTCAAATATGAGGCTGCGCAAAGGGGAGAACCCCTTCGACGCTCTGCACGCCTACGCCCCTAGCTCGGAGGTCCTCGCTCCGGGGGAGGGTAGGTCTGCAATGACTTGCTGGTTCCAGGTTGCCTGTAGCCTCTCTCAGACGAGGCTGTACCATAGGTAGGGACAGATTTGTAATTTTGTTTGGCTGAGGGCTAACCGAGAGACCTACCTGCAAGGAAAATTCGTGAGGGACATATTTGTAAATATAGGAAATATGGGCCCGGTACGAACTCGAATTTCCTACAGCTACCCTAACTGCGAATAGCAGACCCGGGCTACCCCTAGGACAGACAGGCCCGATGGGCCTACGCTGATAGACGGTCCTGTAGCCTATAGCCGGGTAGGGAGAAGCCGTAGAGGCCGAAACAGAAACGGTACCGGTCGGTCAGTCAGTCCGGTCTAGGTCGTGTCTAGGCTAGTTTAGGGTATAGATAGGTTGGGGACATCGGTCCTGGGTTTTTGGCAGTTGACACTTCGTGGTGGAAGTTGCTGCGCACACGGTATCAGGTCGTGGTTGCGGATTCCGGTGGTGGAGACGGCGGGCATAGCCAGACCTTCGAAGCGCTGACCAGACTAGGGTCAACGCTGTCCGCTCTGACTCTCTGGGAGTCAAAGCGATCTGGGCTATCAGAGGTCTGATGCGTTGGAGCACATGGTGCACTGCTGACCCTCCTCAGGAGTAGGGTCCCAGTGGCGATGCAACCATAGCTGCATCGCTTCAGAGGATATCATCATCTGGACTTCATCTTCACCAGGGACTGTTGGCGCTGAGCTTCTTCTTCATCATCTGGGTGGCGATTGGCTCTGGAAGCCTGTTTCATCTTGGCGCAGGCCACTGAGTTGGGTGTCAGGGTGGCGCTGGGTGTTACCTGGTGTTCTGGTGCTATCTTAGCTGCTCGGTGTGTGTGGGGTTGAGGCACTACCTCTCTGAGGGTAGCGCAATAGGGTTCTGAGGTTATTCTGTGAAAACGATGCTCTGAGTTCAATAAACAGTGGTAATACTGTGTTTGAGTTGTTATCTCTTCATTGATTTCTAGCTGTGACCACTCGGTTGTCTTCTATGAATGATTGTTGGGACTTGTGTGGAGAGAATTCATAGTGTTGTGTGTTCTGTCACTTCGCTCCCCTGAGTTTTCCGCTGCGTTCTTTCTGTTGGGCAGTGTGACACTCCACTACCTCTCCCCTTCCCTCTGTGCATGTATGGGCGTGTACGGGAGTTCATGTGAGTGAGCGTTGACAAAATTTCAACAGACAATCTTGTTCATAACAGAGAGAGAGAGAGAGAGAGAGAGAGAGAGAGAGAGAGAGAGAGAGAGAGAGAGAGAGAGAGAGAGAGAGAGAGAGAGAGAGAGAGA